TTGGCTGCAGAAAATTCACTAGAATTTTGCACAGATTGCGACTACGGTTTTAGGAATGACACGTTATCAAGAAGCCAAGTGTTCGCGAGACGTAAACCGTTTTCCAATGAACGTCGATACGTTCAAAACGCATCGCATCCGCGACGCTCCGAGACGAGCGTAACATCGGCAAACGTCGAAGCTGCTGGGCAACCGATCGAGCACGATCGTTGCACAACGATCGACGAAATTCGCTGGAAGATTAATATTAATCGTGCAAGTGTGGTTTCCATCGTTCGGAAGGAATTAAAGTTCCGTAAAATCATAGCCACTTAAAGAGGCGTTAGGAGGACAACGTTTCAACAGCCACGAAGAAGTAGAGCAATTCGTGCGTAATTGGCTCTTGACCCAGCCCTGCACTTTCTACGAAACTGGGATGAAAAAATTAGCAATCCCGTGGCGGAAATGTAGAGAGGCAAATACATAGAAAAAATAACCGAACTGTTCTTTTTGAAACATTTTACTGAAATATAAAGTTACAAAGCCCGGTTTATATTTGACTCACTCTTTGATTGACTTTCCTATTAGACATGCACATGTGATCTAGGTATATGTAGGCTTACAAGTGTATGCATATGTAACATTTGCAAGGATTTAACAATGGATACTTAATGACTTAGTCCGTTAATTTATTTACTTTACCGATTTATCGAAGATTTCGCATTTATCTTAGTTTGCAACTATAAAGGCAGATCTCGGAGAGTTCAGATCGTTGTATGTTGCGAAGCTTCGTTAACTCAGGCCGTTAGGTTTCATCCTTGGCCTAATTGCATTGCAAGTAGGACGGCAGTGAATTTGTATCGATACCCGACTTAGATGAGTAGAAATATACCGAAGCATTTGTTCGGTCTCTTGTTTTATAATTGCTCATTGATATTTTACGAAGCACAAACCGTGAATCGTGCACGTAATTCAGTCGCTTATATTGAAAGAATTTTGTTGTTACAAAGATACTGCAATATCACGAGGCTTTACATGTTCAAAAGAATAATTGACGCGATATCCACTTTCATATCGACCGCATAGAATTTGCTTGTATTTATAAATATACCTTAAATTTGAAGGGAATTTAATCGAGTTAGGCGAATCACGAAGAAATGAATATATATTTTATATTTTACCATTGTGAAACATAAAGTACGAATAGTTAGAATACTTGTAAATGTGTGTGTTAAGTGGTTGAACTCTGTTATATCGTAAGAATGTACAGGGGGAGAAAAATTAATATAACACGAAGTTGTATATATGAAGTTATCAATATTAATATTTTTTATTAGACTATATTAAAAATAACGGTATAAGTTAACATGTAGTTAACATTATATACGTATATTAATGTTGTTTTGTTAAAACTAATTGTATGGATAAGAAATATTGTAACGTATCTAATTATAATAAAATATAATATAATTATAAAATACTGTAAGCAAACAATACGGATAAATATAGAGATAATAAACAACCAAAGATAAACATCGCATAAAAGAGTAGAAATGAAAATTTTTGTGTGCCACTAAAAATACGAAGTAAAGAATTAATATTATAACATTAAGAGAACATTAGAAATACGAAAGATTAAGGTTGTTATGCATTCTGCTCGAATCCTCGTATCATAATCAGGATCAAGGCTCGTTTACGAAAGTCCAATTAATCGGTATAGGACGTCCAGTAGCTGAAAAACAGTTGAAAATAAATATAAATTAATTTGTATTTGAACGATAGCAGAAAAAGAAGGAATAAGATACAGACTACGTAAAAACTGAAGATTAACAACTTTGATGAAGTGATATTATTCATTTAATAGGCATATATACAGGGTGAACACTGTCTATAACAATTCTTCATCTTTCTTAATAGGTAATAGTTTGCTTTAGGATTAAGTTAACGATACAAGTAACTCTACAAGTTAAGAATAGTGTCTTGTAAATAGTTTTTGCCAATTTCCTACGTAATCAGTAATTTGTTTCCAGGGAAATTTGTTACGCATAGATAATTTTGTGACCAAATGCGCGTTTAATTTCTTTAGTAAGTTAGATACGCAAAATTCGATAAGCTATTTGCGCAGGCTTTCGCGACTGACTGTATGTATGCGTATTAAATTGAGATAAAATATTTCAAGCTCAATCGAATACAATGCAAGCAAAATTTAGATTTGCAGATAAAACCGGGGTGAATAAACTTCGAAATACTTACAGTGTCCCGCTTTCCCAAATAGATATCTGGAAGGGCAGCTTTCAAGAGTTCCGCTTCTAAACACGGTCGGCTTCTCTCGTTGTTAATTATTTTGAGTAATTCCCACAAGCTGTCGATATCGAATCGTTTTTTGCGTAGGCGTCGTTCTAATTCTTTCGGTATTTTTAATTTCCTACCAAACTCAGGTTTAAAATCATAATGATATTCACAAGCCGTGCAATTGCATAAAATACGTTTCTCTTCTTGTAGGACTATTTGTCGTGATATAAATTCGATTATGAGAGTTGCGGACCGACTTGTACGTAGAAAATTAAAAGTTATCTGCAAAACACCTCATTAGACAAATCTTTATTTCACAAGTTAATAGCAACGAAAAGACGAAATTTATTACCTGTTCACCTGGTTTCATGTCTTTAGCTGCGCGTACAGCTATCACGCCATTTTTATGTATCGAATACACTGTATTCGCACAACAAGAGTGGGGAAACAAGCTAAGCAAGGAATACAGATTGTAAACTCCATTTACATTATCTTTGTTAACCGATATATCCTCCTGGAAAATATATGATTAGTAGCTATTACATGAAAACTTATTCAATCAGCGACTTCTTACATACTATAGCATGTATTTTATAAAATCATATATTGACCGCAGCGGTTTGAAAGAAATACAGTTAAAAATTGATTGATACTCACCAGAAAGATGTGTGCATGGAAGATGTAGAATAATCGGAATAATAATTTAGCGACACTTAAGACATCGTTGTATCCCCGCATATAATTGGTCTGATTTCGTAGGAATGAAGCGATATAGGCTGATATGAATATACTTCTTGCATTTTTCTTGTCATTATCCTTCATCGATATACTCAAATTGAGGGTGGATTTCAAATTGTCTCCCAAATTATCACGTATCGTACGAAATTCTTTCATCGAATCTATTAAAAATTGAAACGATGTTGTTAACGACGAAGTTACGAGACGATACAAAATTTCTTCCTCATTGATGGATTATGGATGTTCGTGCAAGTTCGCACTCTTACGAATACAACGAACGAAACAGAAACTGAATCGACGTCTATTTCACCCTTAAAATATTACAATCGGTAATTCTATTTTGAATATGCTGTACATTTTTTGTATTACGTATGTTTAATTTCTGTGTAAATGCTGGAACATTCGCAATTTATTAATAAAGTCGAGCCTCTATCGCGGATATATAAAATACACTTGCGAGTAAAAGAGAAATTGTCAAAATTTGGCACGAAGCTTTAAATACAAGACAGTAGTACAGAAAGAAAAAAGAATTAACGTCGAAGAGTATGTTCTTTCTCTGCACAAGCTAGTAACTTTAATTCACATTTATGTTTATATCGATGATGACGGAATAGAGAATTACGAATTAATAAATTATCATTACCTGAGCTCATAGTATCGAGCTTCTCGCAATATTTAATGGCTTCTGCAAGTTTTTCGCCGTTTTCTGTAATCTTCATAAGCAAGATTATTACAAATTGAACATCATCTGGGAAGTTTTTAGAGTTGCATTGAAATCGATGGTATTCTTCGTATGCTTTTGCACGGCATTCTTTCGAACAATATAGCGCGCTATTGCACCGTTCACATGGAAGTAATGCTCTGTAATCTCTTAGGCAATAGTAACACATACGTGCAACATCAACGTCTGTTTGAATGATAGACGTTACTTGTGGTTTCTCGATTAGAATGACGTCTCCAGTGCCGATGGGTTTCGTCGCTTCAAAATTTACACCATATTTTGTACTATGAACCAAGCGAACAGCATCGCTCATACCAGGAATATCTTTGTTTTCGTTGTGCGATAGCGATGGTATATCCTCGAAGTGATTTCTGTTATTTTGTTTCGTATGCGGACGAGAAGCTTTTTTTTCCAAATCCATTTTTGTATCTTTGAAATGTTTAGTTAATGCGGTATTGGGAGAAATTTCGATCGCCCTATCGATATCTATTAAACTCTCTTCGTACATTTGAAGGCATCCCAAGGCCTTAGCACGATTTGAGTATAATATTGCAGACAATTCGCAGTACGGGAAGACCTCTTGCAATGCTTTCGTATAAAAGTTGACAGCCACTTCATAATCCCCGCGCGATTTGGCTGTACCTGCTATTTGCGAAAAAATGAAACAAGAATATGATTCCTGCATTCCTCGATTATTTTCTCTTCAACGTGTTCGGAAATATGAATTTTCGCACTTTGTTAACTAACTGACTTGTAATGGATCGTGAATAGATGTGGCAAAAGGTTTTATTTCGATATGACGTTTCAGCTCCTTCCGACTAATCGCGATACGCCTCGGACGAGATATCTCACGTCTATGTGTTTTAATATGACAATCAAAGGTCGCTCATCGATTGCGCAGTATTCTATTTCTAATTGAAATTCATAACTACAGTTTTCATTCGACATTTCACATTCATTTATTTAACACTCCGAATAACAGATTTTGGAGTTTTTCAAGTTTACGATTTTCGCTATTCATACTACTACACTTAGCGGTTAGCTCTTACATTAACTACACAGTTTTTTTCTTATATTACAATCGGTAATTCTATTTTGAATATGCTGTACATTTTTTGTATTACGTATGTTTAATTTCTGTGTAAATGCTGGAACATTCGCAATTTATTAATAAAGTCGAGCCTCTATCGCGGATATATAAAATACACTTGCGAGTAAAAGAGAAATTGTCAAAATTTGGCACGAAGCTTTAAATACAAGACAGTAGTACAGAAAGAAAAAAGAATTAACGTCGAAGAGTATGTTCTTTCTCTGCACAAGCTAGTAACTTTAATTCACATTTATGTTTATATCGATGATGACGGAATAGAGAATTACGAATTAATAAATTATCATTACCTGAGCTCATAGTATCGAGCTTCTCGCAATATTTAATGGCTTCTGCAAGTTTTTCGCCGTTTTCTGTAATCTTCATAAGCAAGATTATTACAAATTGAACATCATCTGGGAAGTTTTTAGAGTTGCATTGAAATCGATGGTATTCTTCGTATGCTTTTGCACGGCATTCTTTCGAACAATATAGCGCGCTATTGCACCGTTCACATGGAAGTAATGCTCTGTAATCTCTTAGGCAATAGTAACACATACGTGCAACATCAACGTCTGTTTGAATGATAGACGTTACTTGTGGTTTCTCGATTAGAATGACGTCTCCAGTGCCGATGGGTTTCGTCGCTTCAAAATTTACACCATATTTTGTACTATGAACCAAGCGAACAGCATCGCTCATACCAGGAATATCTTTATTTTCGTTGTGCGATAGCGATGGTATATCCTCGAAGTGATTTCTGTTATTTTGTTTCGTATGCGGACGAGAAGCTTTTTTTTCCAAATCCATTTTTGTATCTTTGAAATGTTTAGTTAATGCGGTATTGGGAGAAATTTCGATCGCCCTATCGATATCTATTAAACTCTCTTCGTACATTTGAAGGCATCCCAAGGCCTTAGCACGATTTGAGTATAATATTGCAGACAATTCGCAGTACGGGAAGACCTCTTGCAATGCTTTCGTATAAAAGTTGACAGCCTCATCATAATCCCCGCGCGATTTGGCTGTACTTGCTATTTGCGAAAAAATGAAACAAGAATATTATTCCTGCATTCTTCGATTATTTTCTCTTTAACGTGTTCGGAAATATGAATTTTCGCACTTTGTTAACTAACTGACTTGTAATGGATCGTGAATAGATGTGGCAAAAGGTTTTATTTCGATATGACGTTTCAGCTCCTTCCGACTAATCGCGATACGCCTCGGACGAGATATCTCACGTCTATGTGTTTTAATATGACAATCAAACGTCGCTCATCGGATGCGTAGTATTCCATTTCTAATTGAAATTCATAACTACAGTTTTCATTCGACATTTCACATTCATTTATTTAACACTCCGAATAACAGATTTTGGAGTTTTTCAAGTTTACGATTTTCGCTATTCATACTACTACACTTAGCGGTTAGCTCTTACATTAACCACACAGTTTTCTTCTTTTTTTTTTTAGAATCGATTGAACCAACATTTTTTTCAGGCTCGTGAATGGACCTACATCGCTTAATATATTGTTAACGTCTCGACGGAAAATGGACTTACGCCAATCTCGAAGTAAATGATCATGCAATTGCATATACGTATGAACGAAATTTCATTTGATCGAAGCAAACGAATACTTTAAAATTTAATTATAAACTGTTAGAAATGGAAGGTTCACATCAAAGTATATATAAATTTGTTGATGCGTTTAACATTGCTTCGTGTAACGCTGTTTCTTCTGAACGTAGCTTTTTCCTGGAAGTCTCGATCAGCGTTAGACGAAGCGGCGTTAGATCTATCAGTGTGAATAGCGATTGTTAGTTGTCTTCATATTCATAAGCGGACTGTGTCTTACCAATTGTCTTCTATCCGAGACTTTGGGCTGGATATTCTAATTTCTAACGAAAAGATATCCGAGATATGTCGTTTAAAACGTCAACATGAACGACATTGCGATTGCACGATATCTCGTCCGAATATGAAGAGTATTACGTGCCGAGATATTTAATTCATTCGTAGAAGTTAAGCTTCAGTGTTTTAAATAACATTACTATTTCTAAAGATAAAGTTGCAAATCAGCTATTGAAATTTGATCCAAGTTTATGATCGTATGCGATCTGTACATATGTGTATATTTCCTGGTACTCTAGTATCATAAATTTACGATATATAGCTGAGTGTATACTTCCGTTTACAGAAGGACACAAATGCCAATTAGTCATAGTAAGTTAGTGTTGTTAATAATGACTTATAATATGTAAATTATAAAGACTAAATTAGTGATTATAACGACTAAGCTGTTCCACCTACTGATGGTTTATAAGTAATTTTTAATGCAAAACTCACCTGCACTGATTGGTTCAATTCTATACCGACAAATTTAATAAACAGACCACTATATTATATGCGCATAGTACATTTTATGCCAAAGTAAGTTTAATGTACAAAACTAAGAGAAGATATGAATATCTGGAAATCTGAATATAAGAGATATAATATTCGTTTATTATCGTACTCACCCAAAACGCCATACGTTTCAGCGTTATCTGTGGATCTTGTATCATCAATTATTAGAGGCCTTCGGAATAGTTGATCGATGCACTTTTTCAGTCGGTCTTCATCTGATTCAGCTCCTTCAAAATGGAACCAATGTGCAAATCTCTCTTCGAAGGAATTCATGATAGGATGCAAAAGTTACTGAAAACAAAAAAAAAATTGTTCCAGTTACTCCTCCGCACTAATCACCGTGTAACGTTGTGGAAGTCACGCCGAGGAATGAATCTCTTTTGATTCTGAATATAAGTACGTGTATATATATGTCTATATATATGGTGGTGATATGTGGTTATATATATATATGACGACATAAAATTATCAATAGAATGATATGAGACAATAAGAGATATATATCATAGCTTCATCATCGACTCTTGCGTATTTATTGTGACAATTGAAATGCACACACATATATGTTATGTCCAAATGATGTCAGATATTAATATTTTTTAAAAGTATCACACACCGGAGATATCGTATACCAAATTTTTTTGCAAATACAATTCTCCATATGTGCGGCTGTAAAGTATTATTATAAAAAAAGCTGTGACTCGTACAGACACAAGAAAAATTATGTAATTACAGATAATTATAATTCCCATAGAAACTGTAGAACAAGTAAATTCAGTTATATGCTATGTAGATGAATTTGTAAATTATATAAGGTAACACCACTGTTCTGTGCAACGTTAAATGATATCTCCAGAAGTTTTTACGAAATAAACCTATTATTATTATAGGATTATTTATTCTGAAATATTAGAAATTAGGATTTCCAATGATTTCTATTCTATATGATAAATTTATCGATAGATGGATCTATTCATAAATAACAGTTTATGACTCGTAACAACTCGACAACTTTCACTGCACTCAACTCTCGACTCACAATTTACCAACTCCTGACAACTCGACTCTCAGTTGACGACTGCCACGCAATTCGTCTTCCCTTAAGCATCCCTTTGTTTTTTTTTTCATATCCCCGCCACGTACATGTTCCGTAACTGTCCACGATCATGGTCGCATACTTCTTCTTTCGCGTCACTATTCGACTGAAGGACCGACGATACATTGATGGGCCGCTTGGGCCATTGAAAAATCTCGACCCCATCTGGCTGTTGGCACTTAGGCCTTCTCGCAACATTGTTTATAGTTCACTGGATATTTCTTAGGTAATCCACGATACTACAATATTTCACTTTGTCTTGTATTATAATTCGTTCATTCTCTTGTTTAAATTAGATTTTACGAAGGGTGGTTTGTATCAACTCCTAAAATAAAGTTTTGGGTATCGTGCTATTGTATCTGAAATATTATTGTACAAATCCAAGGAAAAATTCATCGTAATGGATATAACATACATTTTTGTAGTTGTTGTATGTGCACTGGGTGTGTGCAACGTGACATACATGTTATTTATATGCAACGCATGTATACGTACGCATAAAATGTAGAAATAGGAAATATAAAGTGGTAAAATATCCACGTGAAATTCTTTCTTCAACTTTAATGGATAAAGTTAGAGTATAACAATTTTCTGTAGGATTATAATACTACGAGAAGTGCTAAATTGCAGTTTTACTTAAATTGTAATACACATACAGAATATTTCTTTTATTTGAAAGGAACGTAATCACGTTACACTCAAACAATTTACTCAGTACGTTTTGCACTATTTTTTCTGTCTTTCTTGCTTCTTAGTAATATACGTTTTATTATTTTAATGAATTATGTATGGTCCATTTTTATTGTTCCGATAGAACAAACAATAAAACCAAATGGATCATACGTAATTCAATAAAATAATATAAAACAACAAGTATTCTGTCTCTATTATTTGCTTATACAATGAAAGAAACTTTTCGGACAATCTAACATTTATCGATTTGCTTTAAAAAAGCTCAAGTTAAACGAAAAGTAAGAGTTTTAAACTCCGGGGATGAAAGAGTAACTGCGGCGGAGTAACGCAAGAATTTGGGACTTTCTTCGAAAAGCCTACATTTCGAATTCAAAAAAATAGAAAAGAGGATTTCTTTAAGCAAATAGCAAAGAATACTGCACATGTCTTTTCTGGGGCTGTTTTTTCCAAAAAATGAATCTGTGACTTGTCGCAAGAAGCGCCAATGTCATACTTTTGGAAAAACGAATTAGTTTTGGTATTGAGTTCTATCTAAACAGATGCATGTTCTATATAAAGAATGACAATTAAGAATTCTATCTAGGAACGACTTGAATGACATTTGTATATGACAATGTCAAAATTTTTCATGAAATAAACTTTCTGCAGAAAATACCTAAATTAACATACGAGACTCAAATAGCATAGACTTTGGTTTTCTATTTTTGCGTTAGAAAAGATACTTGAAACTGCGGAAACTTTTTTATCAGAAACTATTTCAAGTGTTAATATCTCAACTTCAGAAATACTGACATTGATGTTTTCTGCATTCAGCCACAGATATAATCGGTGAAAGATCGTTCCGGGAACTATACAATGAAATGTAATAAAATCCAATTGAAATTATATTATCGCATTTTTCATTGTATTGCCAATATTTTTTGTTATTAAATGAACGATGAGAAAGAATTAAAGACTATTAGTCTTTAATTCAGTTTTTAGATCTTTTTAAAACAGATAGCATTGTAGCTGTTCTGATATAGCAGAAGGAGTATAAAATAAGGTAATATCTATAATAATTATTTTTACTATAAATTGTGCTTATCAGAAATGCTTATCAGAATAATGACTATCAGAGAAAAAAAAACTGATAACACGGTTCCTTTTTTAACGCGTTGATAAAATCTTTTGAAACCAATGAACAATATTAATCAACCATTATCAGTGACGAAAACGGCTTTTTCCACAATGCCAACGACAAAGGTAATTATCATTTTAAAATATTCGAGTGAATTTCTTTCATATTTCTGGTATATTAAAATTAAGACAATCTAACGAAACAGTATAAAAAGTTCACGTTTATAAGAATAATTTGCGGGACACTCGGGCTGTTTTATGCAAAACCTTATGAACCCACAGTGATCTAAAATCGAGAAAATTTAGAATAATTTGTAATAAATTCAGAATTTTTTTTTTTAGTTGATTGAATTATAAACAAGCGGTTGCGGAGCATGTGCGTGGTGGGGCTAAGACAAAAGATATAAGGCTAAGACAAAAGAAAAGGGGTTGCTAAGGGACATAAACGAATCAACAGCAGTATGAATTGAGAAGCCAGAGAGTGCGAATTGCGTTGTCGAGAGAGAATTGTATCCGTGGTGACGAGAGTTGCAAATTAATTATCTAATTGTCTTAATTATAATACGTTATTGTAATTAGTTCACGTTAAATAACCATCGTTTCGTGTTTAATCAACATCTGTCTAATCCATTTGTTGTAGTATAAGATACTACAATAATAATAATAATAATAACATTAAAAGGAAACCCCACTAAGTGTAAAAATATATATTATATAAGACTTTTTAGCTTCTTTAGTTTATTAAACTGTTCGAATATTTATTATGCATATATTTTACTTATAATACTAATAAATTATACCTATCTATAATAAGTATAACTTATTGTAAATAAACAGCCATGTCACTGCGCCACGCCAGAAAAATTACTGAAAATTCTCAACGCGAGAATTGATTGTAATTTCAACAAATAAAATAAAAAAAAAAAAAAAAATG